AGGGGGAGTGGGAGAGGGAGAAGCAGGCTTCCCGCGGAGCAGGGAGCCCGATGCGGGGCTCGATCCCAGGACCCTGGGATCACGACCAGAGCCGAAGGCAGTCGCTTAACCAACTGAGCCACCCAGGTGCCCCAAAAGAAAACAAAGATCTTATAAAGATGTTGAGCGCATATATATTCTCAATATGAAATCAATATGACTCTTAAAGTGAAGGTCGATATTAATGGAAAAATGTGGCAAAGAGCTAAACATGCTCTTGAGCTGAAGAATTTGGACCAGTATAAATGATTTGGAAGGAAGGAGAGTCATAGCCTGGGAGAGTAGGAGGAATAAAAGGTTTTGTCCTTCTGCCCACTCCTGGTATCTGCCACCACTCAAAGCCAAAGGACTGCTTCTCTCACATCCCTCTTTAGATCCACTGAAGGGATAGGTGAGGGCAGAGCTCTGTGGCACAGCTCATGGACTCCCCGCCAAGATGGCTGCCTTTGCAGTGATACCACCTTGCCATGAGAGAAAGCAAATGCCCGGGTCTGTCAGGATGGAGACATTCATCTCTTGGCCTCTATTTCAGCATCACCATTGCTTGGGGCCTCTATTTACCTCTCTGAATCTCCCACATCTCAGTATCCTGTTTATCCTCTCTCCCTCACCTCAGTTCTACTCCAAAGAAGATGGATCCCAGGTCACTAAAGATGATTATATCTTCTGCAGTTTGAACGTATATCCCTCTGCTCCACAGTTTATTTCATCACGTTATTGTGCTATAGATCGGAGAGAGCGCTGATCCAACAGGATTGACACAGGCTCACAACATTCGTGAAGATTTTCATGAATTTTCAGAATATAAGAAAGTAAATGAGGTTATGAGCTCAGGCTGTATTGATTTTGTATTGCTGTGTTCTGTTTTATTGTTTCCACTCTGTTTCATGGCCAAACAACCACACCTCGACCCTGTAACAGATTCTCTTGCCCAAACCATCTCCTTGATGGCAGTACGAGATACCACAATAGAGCCAAGTGTGCCAAAACCTCTCATCATGTAGAAAAATAGCTAGGCACAAACTCGTGAGTCAGGGGCATTTGTTACTTTGAAAGGCAATCCTTTCTTATCAGAGTACCCCACATAAGCATTGTTTAAGAGTTACATTTGAAAACACTTCAGTGGAGGTAGAGGTCAAGTGTTTCACTTTCTGGAACCAAACCCAGTGCCCTGGCACATAAAGCTGTTCAAAGAATGGTGATCCCCCCACCACCACCCAGCCTAAGTACATTCCAAAAGCTAATGGTTGAGCTGCTGCATGACTTTCAGAATGTTCCCATTCCATCAGTCCATCGTGACTTGTTTCCATCGTTTCTTCTGAGAAAGACTATGAAAGTTATGTGATTTTAAATGTTCAAATGAAAGTGTTTACCCATGCATGATGGTTCCTCCCTCTCTCCTTTCCTTCCTGCCTCTTGTTACCTTCTTTCTCTCATTCTTTATTCACATGTGATTTTATTAACTTTCAATAAATGAAAAACTAATAATTCAGAAATATAATGTGTACCTAACCTCATTCTGGATTTGAAAATAAGAACTCCCACTTTTCTAAAAATGTTGCTTTTGATTGTCATTATAATTACACCAAATTTCACTGTGCTGGTGAAGACACTGCTAAAGTCATCATTTGGTACAGAAACACCAGAGATCCTTGTCTGTTTTTTTAATAAATAGGCTCAACATTTTAACCTAGAAAAATTTTAAGTAAAAAATTTAAAAAGTGCTTTGGGAAACACAATGAAAGACAAAAGAGAGCTGGAATGACTTTGAAGCCTCCGTCAGCCCGTACAGAAGTGAACGGTTGATCCACAAGTCTGCTCACATTGACGCAGAGAGATCTGCAAAGACATCACTACGATGGCAGATTGCAAGTGATAGAATATAGTTACAAGAAAGAAGAAGATTCATAGGGAAAAGCAAGAATATTTGGCTAGAGAGATTCAGGGAGCAGGTCAGGGGAGGGGAGAGGAAAAGATGCTGAGAAAAAAGTGAGAAAGTGTGAAAGCTATCTATTCCATATTCTATACACTACAAAGGTTGAGTGAAACCCGGCTAATAACAAATCCATGTACATGACATGTGGTTAATCATATTCTAAGAATGACATAAATGATAGCCAGACACATATAAACAGGGAAAAAATAGATGGCAAGCCCTCCAGAAAGGAACTAGAACATGAAATGTGGAATGGAGAGGCCTGGGAGGTATCACTCAGGATGCGAAGGTTCGCACAGCCAGACCAGTCTGGCGAGAGTCCATTTTTCTCTGGCTCGACCCTCACTTACTGCATGGTGGAAATTTGAGCATGACTTCAAATACCTCCACCTTGGTTTTTGGGTCCTTCCAGCTAGTGCATCTGTCATACCTATTTCCGCCTGTTCCAGTGACTGTGATGCATCTGCTGCGGACGGGACCCAGAGCTCCTGAAGGAGGTGGTCCCCCGGCTCCCATAGCATGCCGCCATGTCCACAACTCACGCCAACACTAAGGCTACATGTGGACAGTGTCTACATTGCCACGTGCCACGCCTGATACCTGGGCTACCACCCAGCGGTGCTGACTTCTGCTCATGCCAACTTAAAGCTCTTGTTCTGCTTTGTACTTGTTCTCTATTATACTGCTCCTCCTGAGATGAGGCGGAAGGCGTGAGACTTGGGCTACAGGACAGTCCGCATGATGGACACCACACCATCCCCTTGCATGACGACCTCAAACAGACCCCAAACATCACTTCTCCCTTCGTATAAATTCCTAGTCCTGGAGGGCCTCTGCACAGACCCTTCCAAATAAGTCTCTGAATAGTAATAACTATTGCGTTTTGACCTTTCGCCAGCACTGAGTTTCATATGAGTTTTCCTTAGTGAAACAATAATCCTTTGGGATGGAAATTATCCCCCCTTGACACATGAGGAAAACTGAGGCTCAGAGAGGTGGGAGCCTCGTCCAGCACCTGTCAGCTGGTTTTATATTCAAGTCTTCTGTGCTCCAAGAACGAAACTCTTAACAGCTAGACACAAGGCGTTCCAGAGGTAAAGCCACACAGACAGCAGCTCCTGTGTACCCGAGGCAGGGTGCAGGGCTGTCCCTTGCCTGGCTTCAAAGCCACTACATTCCTTTAAACGGAATACCCAAGGAAAGGGAATACCCGATCACACTGGATGGGAGAGGTGAAAGACTGCAGGCTAGCAGCAACTTTGTATGAAGTAGAGAGAAGTGGCATGTTTCAACTCTGGGAAGTCCCAAAACTCTGAATTAGCACAATACACGCATACCTGTAATAAGGATTTTCAAACACTAATAGTGTATGCACATGTCAAAAATTTTTTTTTTAACATTTCAGTTTTATAAGACAATTAGCTACAAAGAACATGGCCGTAGGAAATTAGATGTCATTGTTTGACGCTGCCTTATGGAGTGGAAACAGTGTAAATTTTAATTCCATGACCGAACGGTTCTAAGTAAGACAGTGGAGAATAATCATTCTACCTGATGTTTGGAAGGAACTTGACAAGGGTAGGCGTGTATCTGAGTTTGTAAGAAGCTGGAAATGAGAGTCAAAGCATGTGCAAACATTTGTCTTATATGTAGAGGGGAAAACAACTGGCCGTGCAGATTCCAGGTATAAACTGGCATGGCTAAGACATGGAGAAAGTATAAAACTAATCTATTGTGTGCCTTCCCTGAGTCTGCTTCACTTCCCATCCCCCAAGCCCATAATGTCCTCATTTACAAAGTTCTACGCTCAGGTGTAAAGCCCAAGACTAAAAATTACTTTAAGAAACATATCCCAGGGGCGCCTGGGTAGCTCAGTCAGTTTAAGTGTCCTACTCTTGGTTTCAGCTCAGGTCATGATCTTAGGGTCCTGGAATCGAGCTCCGCATCAGGCTCCATGCTTAGCCACAGAGTCTGCTAAAGTTTCTCTCTCCCTCTCCCTCTGGGCCCCCCATCCCCTGCCCGGCTCACGTGCTCGTTCTCTCTCTCTCTCTCTCTCAAATATATACATCAAAAAAAAAAGAAAAGAAAGACACATATCCTAATATGTGAAATTCCAACCACCATGAGAGATGTCTTGTACCCTCATTTTCACGCCTTGGGGACAATTCCCCAAGGTAGATAGTAGATACTCTTTCTTTATGAATATGCCAATGTTCCCCAATGAATAGATTAACTTAGTTTTGTCCTGATTAGCTTTATTTCTATCGTTTCTGCTTTACGTATTTTAAATCTATACACGTTTAGAATGATTGCATCTTCCTAAATGGATTGAGTCTTTTATTTTTTATAAAAGGGTGTTACTTTATAGGACTCGAATATATCTTTTTCTATCTTCTGACTTCCATTTTCAGCATCCTATTTTTAAGATGTTTCTTTTGTAAGTAGCATATGGTGGTTGTTTTTTTAATCTCCTTGGATAATCCTTATGCTTTCAGTGGAAGATAATAGTACCACTGTATTTTGTACCCCATGCTCCAGTCAGTGTTGGTGCCCCAAGCCCAAGGCCCACCTCTGACCTGAGATGCAGCTTTGGTGAGCAATCCTGAAGCATTCTGACGGTGTCTCACCTCAAGCACCCACTGTGCCTCCTATGTTCATTATGTTTCTTTGTGTGTGTGCCTTTCATCTATTTTTCTGTATTTGAAGGCAGATATTTTCTACTGGCCTTACTTCCAGTACACTAATCTTTTTCTTGGCTGTATTTAATTTGTTGTTGAACCCATCTGTTTATTTCTTAATTTAATTAGTTTCTTGATTTCTTATGTATTGTTAAGTTCTAGAATTCCCACGTGATTTTTAAAAAATATGTATTATAGTTGCCCGGGGAACTCCCTCGTCATTATTTTCTTGAACTTACTAGTTAGTTATTTTAAAGTCTGTGTTGAGTAACTCCAGCATCTGGATCACCTGTAGGCTTGTGGCTACTTTTCCCCTCAGTTTTTCATTATTTCTTTTTTTTTCCCTAATTATGTTTGAGAAGTTTTATTAAATGCAGGCAGTGTGTATGAAAAAAATTCAAGGCTCAGAGTGATGTTATTTTCTTCCAGAGATAATTTACTTTGCTTCTGGATGGCAGGTAGGTAGGGACAGTGTCTTTTAGTCCAATATGGAATTTAGCTATTTCCATCGTAAGGGCTGGCTAAATTCTGTTAACTTATAGTTCTTACATATAGTCCTTCAGGTGTCCAAAATGACTCCAAGTGATAGCTTGGGGTGTTTACCAGGACCCGCCACTCACAGAGGGCCTTGAATTCCAATTTTTTTTGTCTCCCCAAAGTTCTGCCCAGCTTCTCAACCTCTCAGCCTCAGGCTCTTGGAAATTGGCAAATTCCTGGAGAGAAATTGGGCTTACCTCCATATGCTTATTTTCTCTCCAGGGTCCTGATGACCCAAACCCTGGCTTTCTTCTTCCTGCCCTGACTGTACCCTGATATTTACATATATTCTGGTACACTTACGTGTGTGTATACACACATATGTACATATGTCTACACATGCACATACATATATGTATACATACGTGTGCATGTATATACACACATGTACACACATATGTATACATCATCTCCAACCTTTCCAGGTGTTCTAGGTGACAGGGTTTGTCCAATAAGTTAATCCATCACATAGTCAGAGATGGAATTGTCCATATCCATGGGTCAGCATTGTGGGGGACCCTTGGCATTTGTGTGTACTGGAGCCCTAAGTTTACCTAGGTCATCAAACTGAATCTGCCTCCAGTGAACTGTGTAACCTTGGGCATATGATTTCACCTCTATGTGAGTTAGGTCTAAAATGACAGGTTTAACTACATAAGCTCTCAGATCGGCTCCTGCCATGCCATGCTATAATTCTGTTCTGCTCGTTCACAGCAAGAACTACATTTAAAAAAGGAAATACAATGGGATTCAGAAGTCACTGGCTAGGAAAACTAAAAATAATTTGCTAACCTTGCATTTTAAAACTTCACAAGTGTTTCTTAGGATTTCCCATAAGAGGCTTTAAGAACTTCCTGTGAGATATTTCCTTTAGATCTTAGATAGTAAGGGAAACACCAGCCCACTATTAATCCATAGGTCTATTAGCAGTTTTGCATTCCTGGGATAAATACTTCTTGGTTCTATCTTTTTGCATATGTTATTTTGGTTTGACCATAACTTATTCAGGATTTTTTGTGTCAATGTTCACATGTGAGCCTGGCCTATAATTTCTCTATCTTATGCTATTCTTGTCGGTTTGCTGCATCAAGGTTATTTACCAGGCCCATAGAGGCAGGTGGGGACCTTTTTCTCTTGTTTTATTTTCTGGAACATTTGGATAAGACAGATGTTTTCACTTCCTTGACACTCTGATAAAACCGAGTGTGATGGTTTGAGGAGTAGATTTTCATTAATGCTTTAAATTCTTTGATGATATTAGAGTTTTCTACTAATTTTGCAGCCGACTCTGGCAATTTTTCCATTTCACCTAAATTTTAAGATCTATTGGCATAAAGGTTTTCAAGATATTCTCTTATGATTTATATCATAGTCATGACTCTCCTGCATTTCTAATATTATTTATTTGTTTCTTTTCTCTTTTTCCTGAGCAATATAACCAGCATTTTTTTTTCAGTATCTCTAAAGAACTGGATTTAATTTTGTTGCTCCTCTCTATTGTATAGTTTGTTCCTGTATCTTTTTTTTTTTACTGTTTATTTATTCCATTTCCTTGGATTTACATTTTGAACTGAAATCTTAGATCATTTGTTTATAACCTTTCTTAATTTCTAATGTAAGTCTGTATTAAAATGAGTCATGAAATCGTGACAGAAAATAGTATATTCAAATGAATCAATTGGCAAAAGCTTAATAAAGGAATTATTTTGAAGTTGTGGAGAGAGTTAACAAGTCTATTTCATGTAATGAAGTCTAAATATCAAATCTGTCTATCCTACAATTGTGTGCCATTGAGAAGCTTTAAATCCACTTCCCCATTCTCATTCTGTCAGGTTCTTCTGATCTCATATCTTAGTTCTAACTTGTTTTTAACTGCCTTGCCACTCTTTTAGTTATAATCGTTGCAGTTTTGCTTTTACAGACATTTTATTTAGATTTACTTATTTGTTTCCTCATGATTTCATTCTCCTTCTGAGTCTTTCTGGGTTCATTTTCCTACTTTCTAAAGTCCAGCCTTTATTTAGTATTCCTTTCAATGAGGGTTTGTGAGTGGTAAACAGAGTCATTTATTACACTAGTATTATTTTGTCATTTTGATGATAACTTATGTTGATTATTCAGCATGGAGCTTGCTCATTATGTTTTTGGTACATGTGGAATCCCTCACTACTGTGGTGCAGGCATACAATTTCAAGTTTTCATGAGTGACTTTCTTCTTTTACAGAGCAAACTCTTTTGCCACTTCACCCGACCAGGGAATGGAGATTTTCTAGATGCTGAGGTCAGGTATGACTTTGACACTGGAA